TGGGGAGGGCAGGGATAGGCAGGCTGAGTCACCTCCCCGTTACCCTCTCTCAATCTTTCTGTCTCTCCCCACAGCTGGGCAAGTTCACCGGCCTCAAGACTGCCCTGATCCTGGGTGGGGACAAGTAAGAACCCTCTTGCCCCTGGCCACGGTCACCCACACCCCCATCCCTGTGCAAGCGCACCCCATGCCTCCAGGGTATCAGAATGTAGGTGCCTGTGTGGCTTATTAACAATAGCAAGTTCTTGGCACATTCTAAAAAATAAGACTGATGCTTGTGAAGAATAAGGAAACATGCAGTAACATACGAGAAGGAATTTCCTATACGGGCACATTGCAAAGGTTCTGATGCTCCTGAAAGACAGCTGGTGCATCCGGGTCACCCACCCGGTAGCTCAGATGTATGTTTTAACGTGCGTACGTGTGGGTTGTTTAAAGCAGAATGTGCACAAATCAAAGCATGTTTGTAATAGCTCAGATTTGCAAAATGTACTTTTCCTGATGTGCTGGTACCATCCTTCTGAAGTGGCAGGCATCACACCTGTTTTACAGGTGAGCACACTGAGGCGGTGGTGGGCCCAGAGCCGTGCAGTGGTTTGGTAGTACCGCTCAGATGAGAACTCGGGTGCCCTGCTGTGCCCCCTCCCCGTCTAGTTAGTTATTGTGAGCAGTGCCTCCCAGGCTAGGCCTGGCCCGGAATTCTGGCTCCTACAGGTGTCCCAAGGGACGACTAAGTTAGGGATGTGTGTGCTCAAAAGGTTTAAGAATAAGGACAGAGAGATCCCAGAAACTGGATTCGAGGTGCAGCTGGCAGTTCCAGGGGTAGTTGCTAGGAGGCTGTGGGTGAAAGGCAACTTTGTTGCCTCTGGAGATAGAGAGTGAGGTGGGTTCTGAGGCTGAGCCCACTCTTTGGGGAACTCTTTGTTGTGTGAGTCCTTTTGTATGTTTGAACCTGCATCTCTTGTCAGGGCAGTGCCTTTGCCTAGGATGTCAGCAATAGCCTTTCCCCAGTTGCAAGTCTGGGGTCAGGGAGTGGGGCTCACCGGGTATTTGGTGTGGGAAGGGACAGGGACTAGACAGAGACCTGTTCTATCGAGCTGACTCCTGCCCTTCTTCCTAGAATGGAAGACCAGTTTTCAGCCCTGCATGAAAACCCTGACATGTGAGTCTGCATTGGGGGTAATGCTCTGGGGTCCCTTCCCAGATGGCCAACGTCTGGGGAGTGAGAGGAGGGCTCTGCTGGTGGCCCCGGGTGACCTGGCCTGCACACCCCTTCCAGAATCATTGCCACCCCTGGCCGCCTCATGCATGTGGCTGTGGAGATGAACCTGAAGCTGCAGAGTGTGGAGTACGTGGTATTTGACGAGGCTGACAGGTGAGGCTGCAGGTACACCCCTCGCAGTGTCCAGATTGGCCGCGGCTGGGAAATCAGAGGGAGGTGCGGTTGCTGGGAGGAAGGGCTCTGCCAGGAGAGACCTGTGTACCGGGATCACAAAGTTGAGAACACAGGCGGGATCAAATCCCAGCCCCGTGAACTTGGACAAATCACTGAGGGTCTTGGGGGCCTGGGGGGCCTCGCCTGCAGAGTGGGGATAAAATAGCATGTGCCTCCCAGAATGCCGTGAGGACTCAGGAGCCAATATTTGTAAAGTACTCAGAAGGTACCTGACCCAGAGCGAGGGCTGCTGTCATTTATTTCAATGTGAATTTGTAGGAAACAGAACAGATCAGACCCAAGATTTCAAGGTCATTATTGCTTAGAATGAAGTTGTCAGACAGAGAAAAATCGAGGCAAACACCAACCACCTGGGAGAAGTGTGGTGGGGGCGAGGGTGGCTGAAGTTGGGAACTCACTGGAGGAAGCCCCTCTCCTGACCCGTCCTGCCCTCCGCCCTCCCAGGCTCTTTGAAATGGGGTTTGCAGAGCAGCTGCAGGAAATCATCAGCCGCCTCCCGGGGGGCCACCAGACGCTCCTGTTCTCTGCCACGCTGCCCAAAATGCTGGTGGAGTTCGCCCGGGCCGGTGAGTGAGCTCGGGTGGGGGCCTGGGCCCGGGCCTTGTCCTTCAGTGACTCAACCCCCACTCCCCTCTGCGCCCACCGCAGGCCTCACGGAGCCCGTGCTCATTCGGCTGGATGTGGACGCCAAACTCAACGAGCAGCTCAAGGTGAGGTCTGCCTGTGCCCCTCGCCGGGCCTCTGTGCAGGGCCCTGAGAGCCACACCCTCACGGCCCCTCTCCCTGCAGACCTCCTTCTTCCTCGTGCGGGAGGACACCAAGGCCGCCGTGCTCCTCCACCTGCTGCGCAATGTGGTGCGGCCCCAGGACCAGACGGTGGTGTTTGTGGCCACAAAGCACCACGCGGAATACCTCAGTGAGGTGAGCGGGCCTGGCTGGCTGAGGAAGACAGCTCCGGGCACCTGCACCATTAGCTCGGGGCTGCAGTTCCATGTGCAGACACCAGAGGGCAGCACCAGAGCAGGACACGGGCCTGGCCAGGGCTTATTACTTTAATGAACTCCCAGGTACTCAGTTATCCACTCATGGCCAGTCCTGACTCATCTGTTGCTACCCCCTCCACCCAGGTTATGTTGAAGTATTCTCCCAGCCGTGCTATCACTTTTGTATAAATTTTCCCATATGTTTCATTTTTTAAAAATGAGGCGTAGCCTGCATGCCTTGTACAGTGCCCAATTCTACGTGAGCAACTGGATGAGTTTTTCCATATGACAGCATGGGGTTCCTGTGCCCCAAAGGCTGCTGGGGCCCCTCCCTTGGTCAGCCACACCTGGGGTCTGTTTTCTGAGGACACACTTCACTGGGTTTCATTAACTTGTCATACATTTAACGGAGCTTCCTCCTTGCGTGCAGCTGCTGGGGTCTCTGATGAATGAGACTGAAATAGTAATTCTCAAAGAGCAGTTAACACTCACGGTTCTTCCTGTGTTCTAGGCCGAGTTCTCAGCACTATGTTAACTCATTGAATCCTTATAACAAAGCTACAGAGCAGGAACAATTCTCCCCGTTCTATAGACGAGGAAAATGAGGGCACAAAGAGGTTAGGTCACTTGCCCAAGGTCATGCAGCTCATTAGTGGGAGAGCCAGGGTGAGGCTTACACCAGGTCATGGCATCCCGCGGTGGCCCAGACTCCTCTCTCTCCTACCAGTCTCCTCACCCCTCTCCCCTCTCCCCTCCCGTCCTGGCTACGAGCAGCTGCTGACGACCCAGCGGGTGAGCTGCGCCCACATCTACAGCGCCCTGGACCAGACGGCCCGCAAGATCAACCTGGCCAAGTTCACCCACGGCAAGTGCTCCACCCTCATCGTGACGGACCTGGCGGCCCGGGGCCTGGACATCCCGCTGCTGGACAACGTCATCAACTTCAGCTTCCCAGCCAAGGGCAAGCTCTTCCTGCACCGCGTGGGTAAGGAGCCAGCGGGCGCTGAGCCCCGGGGGGAGCTGAGGGCGCAGGGCGGGACTCCCGCCCTTCAGGTGGGGAAACCGGCCCAGGGGTCTGACCTATAAGTGAGGACCTGGTGGGGGTGGGCCAGCACGATTCTGATGGGTGCCTCACGGCTCCACTCTCTGGACTCTCTGGACTCTGTCCTGGGCGTCTCTTTTCTGTCGTGCCCCTTAGTGACGTGGCCCCTCAGCCCCCTCCTCCCCGAAGTCCTCTCAGTAACGCTGCCCTGGGAGCTCCTCTCCTGGGGCCCTGTGCCCCCTCAGGTTGGGCAGGTGGGAGTTGTGCTGGGCTGTGGGGACTTGTCCTTTGCTAAAGCTTGACCACCTCCTCCGCAGGTCGTGTGGCCCGGGCTGGTCGAAGTGGCACGGCCTACTCCTTGGTGGCCCCAGATGAGGTCCCCTACCTGCTGGACCTGCACCTGTTCCTGGGCCGGGCCCTCACCCTCGCCCGCCCCCACGAGGAGCCCTCAGGTGAGTGGAGGCCGGGGCGGGGCTGAGGTCCTCCGTGGAGTTCTTCACGTGGGCAAGGGACAGAGCTGTCCCCTCTGGTAGGGGGTGGGGCTGGATTTGACCCCAGGAGAAGATCCCCGTATGGTCACCCTCAGTATCCTTGGTGGATTGGTTCCAGGACCCCATCAGATAAAAAAATCCACGATGCTTAAGTTCCTTATATTAAATGACATATTTGCATATAACCTACACACATCTTCCTTAACATTAAATTATTTCTAGGTTACGTATAGTAATAGAATGTGAATGCTCTGTAAATAGGTGTTACACTGTATGGTTTAAGGCAGTGGTCGGCAAACTCATTAGTCAACAGAGCCAAATATCAACAGTACAATTGAAATTTCTTCTGAGAGCCAAATTTTTTAAACTTAAACTATATAGGTAGGTACATTGTTATTAACTTAATTAGGGTACTCCTAAGGCTTAGGAAGAGCCACACTCAAGGGGCCAAAGAGCCGCAGTTTGCCGACCACGGGATTAAGGAATAAAGACAAAATTCTGTACTCGTTTAGTACAGGTGCAACCGTCATGGGCCTAACCATGTAGCACGTCGGCAACCACGGGGGTAATTCTGTGATTCGGGGCCAGTGTGGGAGGCCGGGCCATGGGCAGGTGGGCCCGGCGGCAGGCCTGTGACTGGGCTCCGTGTGCGGTGGCGGAGCCTTAAGGTGCGGTCGGCGTGGACGGCTGCTGGGCCGGGTGCCACAGAGCGTGGTGGACGACGAGGACTCTGGCCTGCGGAACACCCTGGAGGCATCACTGGAGCTGCGGGGCCTGGGCCGTGTGGCCGACAACGCCCAGCAGCAGTATGTGCGCTCGCGGCCAGCACCCTCGCCAGAGTCCATCAAGCGGGCCAAGGAGCTGGACCTCGCGGGGCTGGGCCTGCACCCCCTCTTCAGTGAGTCCCCATGCAGGGCAGGGCAGGGGTGGTGGGCAGGCCCTGCAGAGCTGGCCCTGGCCTCACACCTCCCTCCCCGCCAGGCTTGCGCTTCCAGGAGGAGGAGCTGCAGCGGCTGAGGCTGGTGGACAGCATCAAGCAGTACCGCTCGCGGGCGGTGAGTGAGGGCCAGGGGGACCCCAGCAGGGATTCCATTTGAGCTCAAAGCTCTGAAACTGTATCTCTAGCTCTGTTGGCATCTCTAGAGATGCCCCTTGTTCTGGGACCATTCCTGCTGGTCCATGGCAGGTTCCCATGTGGCAACCATTTCCTTCCACTTACTGATGGGCAGCCTGAGGCTCACAGGAGTGACTTGCCCAAGGCCTGGAGGAGGCCTGAGGAGCTGGCTTCCCATTGCCTTTCATCTCCTGTTGACGCCCTCTGAGCACCCCATTTGGTACCTAGGGGACAAGCCTGCCAGCCAGCCAGCCTCAGGGAAAAGGATCTGAGTGTCGTGGTTGAGAGCACTGGTTTCAGAGCCAGCTGGGTCTGGGCTGAAATCCCAGCTGTGGCTCGTCCCAGCTGTGTGACCTTGGGCTGGTTACTTGCCCTCTCTGGGCTCCCTTTCTGGTTGTGAAAGGCAGATAATGAGAGAGCCCTCCCTGAAGGGTTGAAAGGACTCGGGGAGGAATGCCATAGGGAGCCCACCAGGCTGGTGAGGGAGGAGTTGAGGGGAGGAGAGGCCAGTGGGTGAAGGACTAGGGTGTCATCTCCACAGACCATCTTTGAGATCAACGCCTCCAGCCGGGACCTGAGCAGCCAGGTCATGCGGGCCAAGCGGCAGAAGGACTGCAAGGCCATCGCCAGCTTCCAGCAGGGGCGGCAGGAGCGGCAGGAGGGCCTGGCTGGCACAGCCCGGAGCTGCCCAGCGTGGCAGGCGGAGCAGCCTGGGAAGGAGGAGGAAGAGGCAGCGGGAGAGAGCGTGGAGGTACACACCCGACCCGGGACCCTGGGGTCTGGGCTGGGTCAGAAGCTGGGCCTTAGTGCCAGAGGCAGGGCTGGGGGACCGCAGAGGTGTCCCCTTCACCTGGTGGGCAGGGTCCTGGGCCTGCTCATGCTCCCCTCTTACATTTGATTTGGATGGGGGTTCAGTAGCCAAAACATAACAGCTGAGAACCCTGGACTCGTTCCTGACACAGAGAGGGCCAGGCCCAGAGAGGGCCAGGGCCTGGCCTGGTCACACAGCCGGGAGATTAAGCTGGGATGGAACACGGGTCCCTCCTTGGTTGGCACCTCAGCCCCCCAGCCCCCATCTGTCCTGACCCTGCTGGTGCTTGAGGTGGGGTGAGATGCACGTGCAGAGGAGGAAATGGCAACCCCAAGCTGGACTGGTGTTGGGGGGCAGGTGGGCTCCCAGGGGCTGCAGGTGTGACTGGGCCTTGGTCTGCCAGGACGTCTTCACAGAGGTCGTGGGCCGGAAGCGGCAGCAGCCAGGACCTGAGCGGAGAGCCAAGAGGCGGAAGGAGGAGGCCCGGCAGCGGGACCAGGATTTCTATGTCCCCTATCGGCCCAAGGACTTTGACAGTGAACGGGGGTGAGCAGCCAGCTGGAGGGTGTGTGTGTGGTGTATATGTGTGTGTATGTGTGTGGCCTATATATGTGCATGTGTGTGTGGTGTGTGTGTGTGGTAGATATGTGTGTGTATGCACAGTGTATATATGTGCATGTGTGTGTGGTGTGTGTGTGTGGTGTATATGTGTGTGTGTGTGTGTGGCCTATATATGTGCGTGTGTGTGGTGTGTGTGTGGTATATATGTGTGTGTATGCGTGGTGTATATATGTGTGTGTGTGGCGTGTATATTTGCATGTATGTGCGCATGTGTGGTGTATATATGTGCGCGTGTGTGGTGTGTATATTTGCATGTATGCGCGCGCATGTGGTGTATATATGTGTGTGTGTGGTGTATATGTGTGTGTACATGTGTGTGGTGTACATGTGTGTGTGTGGTATATATATGTGCGTGGGTGTGGTGTATATGTGTGGTGTGTGTGTGCGGTGTATATATGTGTACGTGTGTGTTATATATGTGTATGTACATGTGTGGTGTATATATGTGCGTGGGTGTACATGTGTGTGTGGTGTGTGTGTGGGGGGGGCAGGTGGGGCCTGATGGGCCCCCATCAACCCTGTTGTGTCTCCCCACCGCCCTCTGCAGCCTGAGCGTTGGTGGGGACGGGGGCGCCTTTGAGCAGCAGGTGGCTGGCGCTGTCTTGGACCTGATGGGGGACGAGGCCCAGAACCTGACCAGGGGCCGGCAGCAGCTCAAGTGGTGAGTGAGCGCGCCAGTGCAGCCCTTCCATGCCCGCCTGTCCGCCACGTGGTCCCCACCCTCTGGCATGTGACCCCCAGCCTGTCCTGACTCCCCTTTGATCCCGAGAGCAGGAACTATGCCACCCCCACCCCCTCATTGATCCTGCACAACACGGATTACGATCTGTGACCCCCTCCTCCGGTCCCCATGTCGTCACACAATAAGGATGATGAACCCTACCCCACCCCATTCAGCGCCTAGAAATGGCAGAGTAGGGGTTGGGAACCCTGTCCCTGACCGAGGCCCCCCAGTTTCCAGTGACCCACACACACACTGCCTTTGAGACCTAGGCTACTAGGGAAAGGTGAGGAGGAGCTGGGGACAGGCCTTTATTGAGCACCTACTGCATGCCCGACATGGCCATGCTGCTTTTCTACAATCCTCCAACATCCCAGTGAGAGGGTCAGGGGAGGGAGGCCGCCCCAGGCCCCCTCCGTCCACAACAGCCCACCAACCCTCTCTGCTGCAGGGACCGGAAGAAGAAGCGGTTTGTGGGACAGTCAGGACAGGAGGACAAGAAGAAGATCAAGACAGAAAGTGGTCGCTACATCAGCAGCTCCTACAAGCGTGACCTGTATCCTGAGGGGCGGGGCTGAGTGGCACCTCCTATAGGCGGGGCCTGTTTATGCTGGGGGGGCGGGGCCTTCTCCCAGCCCAGGGGTTTCCTGGGCTTCAGCATCCGCCAGCCGCCTCCTTAACACGCTTCCCAGCTACCAGAAGTGGAAGCAGAAACAGAAGATCGACGACCGCGACTCGGAGGAGGAAGGGCCATCGGACCGGCGAGGCCCAGAGCGAAGAGGCTGGAAGCGGGGCCGAGGCCAAGGTAGGGTGCACCGCCACACGCACGTGGGCAAGTGGTATGTTTGGTCACCTGGGAACTTGGTCCTCCGATCCCTCCCGAGTCCCTCAGCTGGTGACAGCTAAGGGGGTTTGTACCGCTCTGTCTGCCAGAGCCTGTGCTGCAGGATGGCACCGGGGGCCAGCTGCCCTGCGTGCCAGGGCCTCAGGCTGCCCCTCTGGGCTTTGCTGTGCCCTGAAGGGAGGGGACGAGCCTGTCCCGTCCCCCCAAGCTTGCGGTCAGAGAGGGCTCCGCTTGCCGTGTGGAGACAGGCTCTGCTAGACACTCGCCACGCAGGGCCTGGGTGCGAAGACAGAATGCCCACCTTACAGGCAGGGACGCTGAAGTGGGTCACGGGGCAGTGACTGGCCCTGGGCTACCCAGCTGCCTGCCACCCCCCTGGGGACGGGAGCGTGGCACTATGTCCTGGGCTCTCAGTCACTGCTGGGTCCCCGGTGCCTGGCACAGAAGAGGCGCTCAGTCAGGCTTTGGTGAAGTGTTAATAATCATAACAATTACACCCAGGAGGCCCTTCCTGTGGGCTAGGCCTTGTTCTGAGCATTGTACACATTAAATCATTGACTCATTAGGACCCATGAGGAGGAAGGTGCTATTATTCATAATTCACCGAGGGGGAAACAGAGGCACAGAGAAGTGACTTGCCCAGGTCTAAGAGGCCACAGCTGGGATTTGAACCCCGGAAGTCCTGGCTTGAGGTTCCAGACCTATACTGTAGAGTCTAGACTACTGTAGCCTTGTTAAGCACCTACTATGTGCCAGAGGCTGGGGCCACAGCAGTGAACGCACAATGGGAGTGGGGGCAGGGAGCAGTCCAGAGGCTTCTGGGAGGAGGAGACATGGGGAATCAACCCAAAGGCTGAGCTCCCTGGATCCTTGTCTTGGCAGGTGCCTCCCAGCCGCGCGCCTCAGGCACCCCCGCAGGCCGCGTGCGCTCAGAGCTCAAGACCAAGCAGCAGATCCTGAAGCAGAGGCGCCAAGCCCAGAAGATGCGCTTCCTGCAGCGTGGGGGCCTCAAGCAGCTCTCTGCCCGCAACCGGCGCCACGCCCGGGAGCTGCAGCAGGGCGCCTTTGGCCGGGGCGCGCACTCCAAGAAGGGCAAGATGAGGAAGAGGATGTAAAGAAGATGGCCTAGCCCCTGGCTCCTCCCGGCTCCAAGTGTGAACACACATGCTCCTGTGTGCCGCTATGTGCCTGGCCCTGTGCAGGGCATTGGGGAGCTCCCTGCAGAGCCACCGCCCATGAGGAGTGCTGTAGGCCACAGGGCAGCAGCTGCCTCTGCTGAGACAGGGACGTTTGTACAAGGTCTTGAAGGGTGCATAGGAGTTTGCGCCCTGAATTGGCGACTCGGCTCCTGCTGCTTCTGTGTGCTCTGGGTTCAGAGGTGGTGGTCACACAGGTCTGAGCTGTGAGTGCCCAAGGCCCAGTGATGTATTTTTAAGGTAATAAACCTTTCTTGAGCACCTCTGGTGGACCCGAAGTGCCGTCCACTCTAGGAGTTGGAAGGGACAGACCCAGGCACTGAAATCCCAGCTAGCACGCCGGGTGAGTTGAGAGCATGTGGGCAAGTCCCGTGGGATCCCCCGGGGACCCCCTGAGGTTGGGTTCTGTTGGTGTCCCCAGTTTGCAGAGGAAAATGAGGCTCAGAGGATGAGTTAGTTGCCTAAGGTGGGAGAACCCCAAAGCTGACAGTCCCCTTTCTCCTTCTGGGCCAGCCTCGAAGCTGGGAGTGGAGTGGGGCGGGGGGCGTGACACAACAGGATGCAGGGTCTGGGGCAGGGGCACAGCTGCTCCTCTGGCTGTGAGGGGTTCACCCTGCCCCACCACACACCAAGCGGGCAGGACTGGCCAGGCCTCTGTCCTGCCCGAGGCCTGTGCTCCCGGCCCCTACTGGGTCCTGAAAGGTCAAGGGGAGCCTCCAGCAGCTGCATATCAAGCCGGGGAGGGGCCTTGTGAGCAGGTGCCTGGGAGTGGGTTTCGGCTCCCGAGACCCTCTTGCTGGTCCTATTGATTTTACTTGACTTAACCCAACACTCACCTGGAATTTACCAGCATTTGCACCAGGCCCCATTGCAAGCACCTGGCAAATACCTGCTTTTTAATGCCCCCAGCTGCCCTGGAGGAAGAACCCGGCCCCAGGCCAGGTGGTGGGGGTGGGGTGGGTGCCCCCATGTCGGCCACGAGTTCTGAGTGCTGGCTTTGTGCCCCTCGTGTTGTCCCGCCGCCATCTGAGTGGGCACGGCCCTCCCATCTCCAGGTGAGAGCCATTCCGCCCCACCCCAGGAAATGTGCACCTTCTTTCCGGGAGGAGAAGCCCCCGGGGGGTGTGCCCACTACTCACCAGGGTCGGGCTAGGGGGCCGCGGTCTCGGGCTCACTCTGGGGGAGGCTGGCCAGCACGGCAGAGAGGTCCAGGAGGAACAGCTTCACCTGGGGGTCCCCAGCAAGCCACAGTCACACCCCACCCAGCCCGTGTCCCGTGCCCACCCCCAATGCTGCGGGACCAGGGTCGGGGTCGGGGTTGGGACCCTCTAAAAGACAGCAATGTTGGTGGTTCCGGGTTTTTTAAGGCCCAGTCAGCCTCCCAAACGATTCCTTAGCAGATGCCTTCACAGTTGGGTACCACCTGCATTATAATTAAATTCTTACTTTCACCTCCATCAATTTATTTTCCCCCTTTAATTGGATCAGTCATATTTGTTGGCGTCTGGCTTACTCACTTTCTCCATGGGTGGCCCTCCTCTGCTTTGAGCTAATTCACTTACTGACACGGACTTAATGAGCACCCCTGGCTCCACTGCCAAGAACCACTCACCCGGCGGACCTTCCCTTGGGCGCTCCCTTCACATGTTTCACTGAAATCAACGTGTGAGAAGGAAACTAGATTCCAGCAAAGATGGGGAACGTTTGCCCTGACCAGTTTGGCTCAGTGGATAGAGCGTCAGCCTGCAGACTGAAGGGTCCCGGGTTCGATTCCGGTCAAGGGCATGTACCTTGGTTGCGGGCACATCCCCAGTGGGAGGTTTGCAGGAGGCAGCTGATCGATTTTTCCAACTCTCCTTCTCCCTTTCTCTCTGTAAAAAATCAATAAAATATATATATATTTTTAAAAAGATGGGGAACGTTTAAGTCACCCTTTTCTGAAGTAGAAGGAACGAAAAATAGCTACAATGAAAATGAAACTGGCCCTAGCCGATTTGGCTCAGTGGATAGAGCATCGGCCAGCGGACTGAAGGGTCCCAGGTTCGCTTCCAGTCAAGGGCACATGCATGGGTTCCAGGCTCGATCCCCAGTAGGCGGTGTGCAGGAGGCAGCCGATCAGTGATTCTCACCATTGATGTTTCTCTCCCTCTCCCTTCCTCTGAAATCAATAAAAATATTTTTTTTTAAAAAAAGAAAACAAAACTGTTACCAAGTTTGGCCAGTTGCTGTTGCTGACGGGATGAGTCCTAGTCCCCAGGCCAGGGCGTGGAAGGCCTAGTTGCCCCGTGTTGGGATCAGAGTGTTGGCTGAAAAAGGACCGGCGTTTGCTGTCACTGCATATTGAGCCTCTGTCCCTCCTAGCGTCACCTGGGGGTGGACCTCGGTACCCGAGCCACACCAGGGAGAGCAGTGGCCCACAAAACCCACCCAACACAGGGCGTGGCACAAAGGTGGGCTCCGGGGCCCCAGTTCTTGCCGTTTGGTTGGAATCCTGGCCATGGGGGCAGGGCAGGGGTGGGGTGGGGAGGAAGGAGTGCCTCTCTGTTTCCCCCACTCCTCAAGGGGGTCATACTCTGGGAACCCCCAGAAACAAGTGTCTCCAGAGTCAGAAGCCCCCTCCTCTGGCTGTAAACCTTGCAAACTTGAAAGCATAGAAAAATGGTGTGTGGTTCACAATGACACCTGTGAGGCCGCGGTGCAGAGACCACTGCTCCACCCCACCTCGCCCTCGCCAGGGAAGCAAGGCCTGTCGGATGACTGCAAAGCGAATCTCGCTGGCTGGCGTGGCTCAGCGGTTGAGCATCAACCTCTGAATCAGGATGTCACGGTTTGATTCCCAGTCAGGGCACATTGCCGATCCCCACAGCCGATTAACAATTCTCTCTCATTGATGTTTCTCTCTCTCCCTTTCCCTTCCTCTCTGAAAGCAATAAAGAAAAATTTTAAAAAAGCAAGTCTCAATCTCCTGGCTTTTATTGATGTCACTTGTTTGACTCTTGGCATAAATGTATGGAGTTTGTCAGTATACACCCTGGCCCTCCCGCATGCGCAGGACACAGACCCAAGGGGCCGGACTTCCTTCTGGCCACGTGGCAGGTGACTCAGCACTAACCCCAACCTGGGGGTCCAGGTGGCACTGAGCCCATATCTGTGGTGCCTCTGATCAGAGGGCCAAGCTTAACCCAGAGGTGGGGTTTCAGGCGTGGGGTGTGCCGAAGGCTTGGGGGCTGGAGGTGACAACAGGGGCCCTCACCTGCTCCAGCTGCCCCTCCGTGTCCTCGAGGTCCAGGGCAGGCGGCTGCCTCTGATGCTGGCTCACCAACTGGAACAGGTTGAGCGCCGCCATCCTCACACGGCCCAGGAGCAGTGTCTTCTCAGCGGCTGTGTTCTGGATCTGAACCCACTTGGATTCCTAGAGAACGCCCCGCCCGTCCCGGATTAAGGTGTGATGGCTGGAGGAGGGCTGGGCCTCAGGCCGGGTGTCTTCCCGCCAGCCACGTACCCGTGAGCGCTCTCGGGGGGAGGAGGGCAGGCGCAGTGTCAGATATGCGCATTAGTTCCGCTGCCCCGCTGCCGTAAGCATCGCCCATCTGTTATCAACCCTGGCGCTCTACCCCGCGGTGGGAGGCTGGGGTCCCTGCGCCCGCTGGGCCGTACCCAGTGCAGCGTGCGCTCCCGCGCCGCCTCCAGG